CCTGGGAGCACGGGACACCCAACGACGTCACGAGGGCGCGAACTGGGTTTGGCCTTTCCGTGGTGGAACGGAGGGGCCATCGCCGCACCAGAGGGGCCGTCGCCACCCCTTCTCCGGCCACTACCGGCGGGTGCCCGGAGTGATGCAGTCAGAGGAGATCTACTCGAAGGCCAACCGCATGCTTGCTGCCTCGGTCTTCGTTCCAACGGACGCAGACGAGCCAGTAGTGGCGCCTCCTCCTGTGGTGGCGGCCGCCGGCATGGCTATACGGGTGGCGGCCAGGGAGGTCTCGGTGGTGGCAGGATGCGGCTCCATCAACTTGCATGGCGGGGTCTCGTCGCAGGCTGAGGTGGACCCCCTAGGCGACCAGGCGGACGTGGGTGGACCGCTGCCGCTGGTGGGCATGGGCTCCCTGTCACTTTCTCGGGAGGAGACAGCCGACAGTGCTGTGCGAACCCCCACTTCCCCGCCAATGCTAATTGTGCCTGTCTGCCCCCCTGCGGCCTCGGATCTGCCTGTCGCAACCCCCACATGCCGGCCTACTACGGTGACGACGCTGTCGGATGGGCGGGTGGGCGGACCGAGGCCAACCGCGGACGATGTTGCGCCCGCTGACCTGCATGGCGTGCTGACTCCGCTGCCCACGCGCTTGCCGGGTCCCACTAGCAGTGATGGCATGGGGGGCCCACCGCTGTTGTGAACAGGGAGGAGAATCCAAAGGAGGATAATGATGAGGTGATCTTCCAACCAATCACACACGAGCAAGCAACAACACACTTCCTGGAGCTTGTAGCGACTCCTGTTGGGCCGGCCATTCTGCATGCGCCAACGGCCAAGCGCGGCCGCCCCCGCCGCCCGACAAAGCCACCCAGAACGGCCACCCGGCACAGCTACCGCCTCTCCAGCAAGAAGAAGTTGTTCCCGGAGACCCACGGAAACATCATGGCGCAAGCAAGGAGGCTGGTCATGTCCAAGAGGGGGCTCGCCATCCCAGACTGTGGTGAGCCAGAAGAGCAACGCCTGCTAGAGTACAGGAGGGCTTTTGATGAACCACTCTCACCTGTCCAGATCGAGGCCCTTTCCTCGCTCGCAAGGGCGGGCAAGAGAGGCTCCGCCGTGCCGGTGCCGGCCTCCGCCTAGGCCGGAAAGTCTGCAGTTCGTCGAGCAGGTTTGACAATGGAAAACAACTGGATTATATGGAACGTGAGGGATTTGAACAACCCGGCTAGGAGAGCTGTAGTTAAGGAGTTGTTGTACCGTAACAATGTATCCTTAGTATGTTTGCAAGAGACAAAACTGTCCTTCATCGATAGAGCGGTGGTGAACCAATGTTGTGGCATGGAGTTCTCTGAGTTTGCTTATGTGCCGGCTGTTAGGTCCAGAGGAGGTGTGTTAATGCCATGGAAAGGTGACCACTAATCCATGGCCACCATTGTAGTTCAAGGGTACATGGTGGAGGCTGTTGGGAACGATGCCAAGGGGGCTCCAGTGGGTGTGATTGGGGTGTATGGCCCGCAGATCTGGGAGGAGAAGCTAGCCTTCCTTCGTGAACTCAAAGACACTATTCAGGGTAGTATACCCAATGGCACGGCCCTTGCGCTGATCGGTGATTTCAACCTCATAACCAGAGTAGCAGACAAGAACAACCCAAGGATCGACAGACGCTGCATCACTGCCTTTAGAAACTTCATCAACGAGCTTCAACTAAAGGATCTATATCTTCATGGCCATAGATATACATGGAGTAATGAGCAAGCAAACACAACGATGGTGAAGTTGGATAGAGTTCTCATCAATGGAGAGTGGGAGGAGAAAATGCCCAACTGCATGCTACAAGCCTTGTCCTCGGACATCTCGGACCACTGTCCTCTCCTCCTCAACTGTGAGATTGCATTCCGTCAGCACAGAGCATTCAGGTTCCAGAATCACTGGGTGAGACTAGATGGCTTCGACGAGGTGGTTCAAGGTGCATGGCATGGGGCGCCGACATCAGGGGATCCGGTCTGCCACTTTGCGGGAAGGCTTGCTGCCACGGCCAAAGCACTAAAACGGTGGCAAGGCCAATTCTGCAATGACATCAAGATGAAAGCGGCCATTACAAGCGAGATCATTGGGCAGTTTGACAGGGTCATGGATCTTAGACCCTTAACAGCAGCAGAGAGACAAGTTCGTGCCACCTTGAAGATGCAGCGGCTAGGATATGCAGCGCTTGACAGGGCCATCTGGAGGGAAAAATCGAGAGTGAAGGGCATAAAAGAGGGAGATGCAGGCGCAAAATTCTTCAAAGCAAAAGCTTCCGCCAGACGGAGAAAGAACTTCATCATCAAGCAACAGGTCGACAGGCTGATCATCACAGACTAGGATGCAAAAGTAAAGGCGTTCCACTCCTTCTTCGAGCCAATTTTCGGATCAAAGGAGCCCCGCTCCAGGAGGCTAAACCTGTCCAAGATGGGATACACAAGACTGAACCTTGCCGAGATGGACGAGGCTATCATGGAGGAAGAAATCCTGGCTAATATCAAGGAGCTGGATGGGTATAGTGCCCCGGGGCCCGATGGGTTTACGGGCTTATTCTATAAGCGGTGTTAGCCCATAATCAAAGATGATCTGACAAGGGTTGTCAAGGCCGTGCAAGCAAACGCAGCGGCACACCTCCATCGGCTCAACCATGCTACTATGATTCTTCTTCCAAAGAATGCAGACACCCTGACCACAAAAGACTACAGGCCGATCAGCCTTGTCTATAGCTTCGCCAAGTTGATCACCAAGATTTTGGCCATGAGGCTTCAGCGCCGGATGAATAAACTCGTCGGTCCCTGCCAGAACGCGTTTATCAAAGGGCGTGCCATCCATGACAATTTCTATTACGTCAGCGGGCTAGCCAAAGCCCTCCGCGCAAACACGCCGGCGCTAATGCTCAAACTTGACATTCAACGCGCCTTTGATACGGTGTCATGGGAGTTCCTGCTTGAACTGCTTGTTGCAAGAGGGTTTGGGAGAGGATTCACCAACTGTCTGTCAGCATTTCTCAGCTCCTCTTCGACAAGGATCCTTGTCAATGGTGATCTATCTGACCCGATCAACTGGTGAAGGGGCTAAGGCAGGGAGACCCGCTATCACCGCTCCTGTTTGTGCTGGTCATGGATTGCCTTGCTATGCTTATCGACAAGGCGGTGAGGGCCGGGATTCTGGGACCGATCGGCAACCAAAAGCTGCCCTTCAGGACTTCTCTATATGCGGACGACGCAATCTTGTTCCTCAACCCATGCCGCAAGGAGGTACTTGCACTGATACAAATTCTCATGCTTTTCGGAGAAGCTACGGGGCTGCATACTAATTTTGCAAAATCTTCGGTCTCCACTATCTGCTGCAACGGGATCGACCTCCAAGAACTTCTTCGAGACTTGGGCTGCCCCATCAAGGAATTTCCTTGCACCTATCTAGGCCTGCCACTGACGGACAAGAAACTGAAGAAGAATGACCTACAGCCGATCTGCGACAAGCTCATTGCAAGGATGAAGGGCTGGAAGCTTGCCTTTCTATCCCTTGATGGACGGTTGGATCTGGTCAGAACCGTGCTCTCGGCGATGCCGATCTTCCAAATGCTCGCCTTGATATTACCATCTTGGCTGGCTAAGCTGATCGACAAGGTTCGTCGTGGATTCCTCTGGGAGGGCAGTGACGTGGCGGCCGGAGGAAAATGCCTGGTCAACTGGGGTATGGTATGTTAGCCAAAGGATTTCAGAGGGCTTGGCATCCTCAACCTGCCAGCCCAAAGTCGCGCCCTACGGATGAGGTGGCTGTGGCTCTCATGGAACGACGGCAACAAGGCATGGCAGGGGCTGGATTTGCCTATCGACCCTGCGATCAGATCACTTTTCAACGCCTCTGTTGACTTCCAGTTCGGCAAGGGTGACCGCATTCTCTTTTGGAAGGAGTCGTGGTTTAAGGGCATCAACCTCCAGGACGCCTTCCCGACGTTGTTTCAGCATTGCACCAGGAAAAACCTCACCGTCGCACAAGCCTTGGAGAACAACAGATGGATCCGACACCTCAAAGCCAACCTCTCTGCACAGGCAACAAGGGAATTCCTGAAACTGTGGGAGGGAGTCCAAAATATACACTTAACACAAGAGCCCGATCGAGTGCAATGGAAGTGGACAGCAAACGGCGTGTACACGGCGAGATCGGCTTACAAAATTCAGTTTGAGGCTGCACTCGGCCATCGTGGGCTGCGTTCCTTTGGAAATCCGATGCACCGGGCAAATGCAAGCTATTTGCATGGTTGGCTCTGCTTGGCCGCTGCAACACGGCCAATGTTCTTTCGAGGAAAGGCTGGCCTCACAATCCGTCTTGCTCTCTATGCAATGGGCCGATGGAGGATGTCGTGCACCTGCTAGCTTCCTGCCCCGTCTCCATCCAAATTTGGCATGACATCATTGCTCGCTGCAACCTTCATCCGGACCTCGCTCCCTCCACCACCACCACTAACCTGGTGCTTTGGATCGAGCAGTCCAATGGCATCATTATTGCATCAACAAAGAAGCCACGGAGCGCACTCGTTCAGCTGGTTTGGTGGTCGATATGGAACGAACGCAACACAATGATATTCAGAAACCAACCATCGCCGCAGACGACTGTGGTGGAACGGATGATCGAAGAGGCAGCGGTCTGGCAAAGGGCGGGACGGGGCAAGGCCATCTCCCTCCTCAACAGACCAAGAGAACTAGACTAGGAAAGCTCACTACAGGCAACGGAGAAGGCATGTCCACCTAGTGGAGGACTGCACATGTAAAGCTGTTGTAAAATAACTCTCTAAAAAAAACCCAAGTATCAATGAAAAGCTGCTCCATCAGCATTTTCGTTAAAAAAAATACAAACTTAAAATACCACAAACACAATAGCTAATCGTTGTTGGACAAAAACATAAAATAAGGTTTAATGGTTGGATAGAATAACTTCTCACTGGACCAAACATGAAGTATTTTCAAAACTACCACTCAAAAGGATAATTTGTATCCAAATTCGTGGCGTCGTTCCGCAGTGAAATGAAACTGAGCACCATGTGAAGCCCTCTTCTCCAGCTGAAGCTTGTGGTGCTGTTTTGCCAAGAAGTCCTCGTCGATATCGTCGGTCTGGACCATAAGTGTCATCGACTCTAGCTGTCTAGCGTTGAGGACAAAGAATGTGACAAAATCAACATCTGGTTTTCTGCCGGAATAATACTTCAACACCATAATTTTCAGACGGATGTCAAGACTTCTGAGAAGATCGCGGTATTTACGACGCCACACATTATTGTTCTTCCTTGACGTGTTGCACTGGAAAGAACATCAGCAAACAGAAAACAACTTCAGCAAAACAAGTAGATCAAATGAGCCGCCAAACACAAGGTATTATGGTCAGTGAACAATTAATCATCACCTGAATGTACAACTTCTCCAAGCACGGAAAGCTTCTCATCAATCCAATAACCATATCCAAACTAAGAGTGGGCATAGTTTGAGCCAAACACTTGATTGTGCGTGATCCCTTCATCAAAGATGAAAGCCAACATTAGACAATATACATGTGCAAATTATATGCTAAAAACGTGTGTGCACATTGCACATAGGGATGGAAGTTACTAGAAGTCTCAATGGTAAGAATGATTAAGGCTGGAGTTACCTGAATATCCATAGAACCAAAGAGGAGCCTGGTGGAGTTGGTACAGCCTAAGGTCTCAAACTTAGGTGCGAAGATCACTGATACACGCAAATCCCGGTCCTGATCTAGATGGAATAGACTTTCGAGACAAGGGGCACTCTCGATGACGATTTCGTCTAACATGGGTGCACCCAGTGTAAAATTGCTGACTGTAACGCTTCTGAGGACAAGTGAATTGATCCGGAGGCAACGAGGTCCACTGCACCGAGAAATTAGCAAGAACTCCAGAGAAGGGCAGCCGGCAATCATGCTGTGGAGTGAGCACTCCGTGATGCTGCTATGAACAAGTTCGAGCCGCTGAAGCCGGGGAAAATGAAATCTGTGGACGGTGGCGTCCGGGAGGCTGCACTGTTCAATGCGGAAAACAACGAGGGTGTCCGAGAAGCGGAAGACTAATTCCGGCAGCGGCTGCCTTCTCCAGCTGTTGAGCTTAAGCTCCTCGAGCCTAGCCAAAGCGGGGGATAGGAGACAGGCCTCCACAGCATCTATGTCGTTTATGGTGTACAACAGCTCCGGAGTGCAGAAGCGGCGGCCGGGGCCTTGGTGGGCGTTAATGATGCGATGCATGAGAGCAGGGAGTTCGTGCCATGTACAGGCGAGGTGACGGCAGTCGAGGTTCAGGGGCGTAGAGCACCAGAGGTGGCGCCACCGGGACACGAGGATCCGGGTGCGAGCCCCTTGCTTGGTGGGGAGGAGGGATATTATCTCACCGAGGATCGCATCGGGAAGGCTGCTGAGGCGGTCGAGATCTTGCCGATTTTCACCCGATCCGCCTCCGTCGTCTTCGCCCATTCCGGGATCGGTCGCCGCTGCCACCGGCGCCGGAGCCGGATGGCCCTCGAGCGCAGCTGCTTTCCTCTTCCTCGTAGTAGTCGTGCTAGCGCCGCCAGCCTCCATCTCCTTTGGGTTTGGCCGCTGCGGAATTAGGGTTGGTGGGTGGAAGAACACGAGATCGTCAGAGCCGCCGAAGCAGGCTTCTCTGGGGAGAGAGTGTTTCTGTGTCTGTGTGCTGGTTTGCGATGACGGAGGGAACCACCGTATAAATAGGAAACTGTCGGATTTGTCTAGCTGGTTGGACGGCGTAGATACTGTCTGATGTATCGATCCAACGTTGGCTCTCGGTCCTATAAAATCTCATTCCCTCAGCGGCTCAGCAGGCCTACCCTAATTCTCCACCACGCCGCCGGCCTCCGGCCCTCCCTCAACCTCCATGCGTTCCGTTACAAAACCCTCCATTCGTCTTCATTCTCCGTTACCACACCGCCAGACTAGTACTTGGACTGCAGCGGCTGACGGGACAGTAAGAGGACATACGTTTAGTGAGCGACATGCTGGCAACATTCTGGCCCCGCTGCTCTTTGCCTGCGTGGACAACCGCAACTTTTGTAGACGAGAGTTTTGACACAGGCGATGGTATGAGAAAGATCATGAGAGAAGGGGCGGAAGGGCATGGCTCCCTCCATTAGTGCTTCTTTTGAATTTCATATTTCATGTCAACCGCTGCTTCCTCCACCTTCCTCTCTATTTCTTCTCGCTCCCCAACAATCCAGTTCAAGAAATTAAGATGAAGACCATCAACCAAAGTGAAGCCGCTGCATACCAAGAATCCCTTCGGGGGTATATACTTGTTTTCCAAGAAGCAACAATCATTGCTTGTCATTTTCATTAACATTGGAAAAGAGAGAGTTTTATTTTTTTTCCAATTAAGAGAGAGTTGTAATTACAAAAGGGAGTTACAAAACTGGGGAAAGCCCCCTACACGAGTAAATTACACCGGCTATGCTTGAACTTGGCGCAAACGATCATTTTACTATTACAACTTGCGGTACACATTGAAGTGATACAAAACCTTTACATACAAATACGGCGCATATGCGGTCCGCAGACGTTAACTGTGTTGCGTGGCTCCGTATTTCCTTCTACTCTGCATACATCACATCACATGGGTCCCACCCATCAGGGTTTACGGCATCCGCAGTTGCACCGTATATTGCAGCACCTAGAGTCTTTTTGTTGGGTTGCCCCAAAAAACTTTTTGCAGAAAATAGGATAGGACTGTTGTTGAAAACCATTTTTTACTCCCAAATGCTAAAAAAGCTAGTAGAATGGACGTGTGTTGCAACATACTGCATTGGTGACTTCTTTTTTATTGTTAAAGTGCTCTCTTTTTCTTTCTTTTGTCCTGTCCCAACTAAAAATGTTTATGGAAGTGATTTATTTTTATTTTTATTTTATTTTTTTTTTTGAAAGGGGGACTCCCCGACCTCTGCATTAGAGTGATGCATACGGTCATCTTATTAACTAAATAAAGCAGTGCCAATATGGTTCCAAGGTCTCCAAAAATAATAAAAAAGCAAAGAAGGCTCACACAGAGCCAAACAAAGCTAGAAACACCAACTAGCCACGAAAAGACGCCACAACCGGCTGGCTAAAAATAAATAGGTAAACTAATTGCCTATCCTATTACATGACTGCCATCCAAACCGGTTGAAGATATCCCGAGCTACCATCTCCCAGCGGAAAGATCCAGTAACCAAATGCTCCCTAGCCTCCATCGGAGTGAGTAGCGACCACGAACGGATCAGTGTCGTGGTTCGGAATATAACCTGCAAAAAATGGATACGTGATATTATGTCAAAAACCAAATCATTTCTGCAAGTCCAGATAGTCCACAGCAAAGCGCAAACTCCAACCCGAATGTGTCTCGCTAAGTCAGGCTCAATCTCATTAAGCCATGTCCCAAATAATGCGTTGACAGAATTCGGTGGATTGATATTAAAAGCAATATGGACCATCCGTCAAAGGACTTTGGCCAACGGGCAATCAAAAAAGAGGTGTCTGATTGTCTCATCCCGATCACAGAAACTACACCTAGTAGGTCATGTCCAATTACGCTTTATCAAGTTGTCCTTGGTTAAAATAACTTGTTTATGAACAAACCACGTAAACACTTTTGTTTTTAAAGGAACTTTGACATCCCAAACATGCTTGGAGGTAGGAATGGAGTTCGAATTAATAACATCAATATACATTGATTTAACTGTGAATACTCCAGACTTAGTCAGTTTCCAGCGTAATTCATCGGGTTGTTGAGAAAGCTGAACCTCCATCAGTCTCCTAACTAGACGGAGCCATTCTTCCCAACGATTGCCCGACGGAGCCATTCTTCCCAACGATTGCCCGCTAGCGACCGTCGAAACTGAATATTAAGGGGGGTAGATTGAAATACCGATGCGACGAACACCTCACGTCGTCGAACAATACGGTACAAAGACGGATATTGAATGGCCAAGGGTGTCTCGCCGAGCCAAGTATCCTCCTAGAAACGTGTACTAGCGCCATTTCCAATAACAAACTTCATCCTATTAAACAAAGATTGTTTGACTTTCATCAGTCCTTTCCAGAAAGGTGAATCAGTCGGCCTGACTGTGACCTGGGACAAAGTTTTTGTCTGGAGGTACTTGCTGCGAAGGATTTGGGCCCACATAGCATCATTCTCCGATGAGAGCTTCCACAGCCACTTGCTAAGAAGGCATCTGTTCTTAACTTCTAGATTCTCAAACCAAGACCCCTTGGTCTTTCAGTCTACAGATGATATCCCATTGAGCAAGCCGATATTTTGTTTTAAGCTCATCACCCTGCCAAAAGAAATGCGATCGATAAAAGTCCAGTCTTTTCCTAACACCAACTGAGACCTCAAAGAACGATAGGAGAAACATAGGCATACTCGTGAGCACCGAATTTATCAGGATTAATCGGCCTCCGTATGACATGAGATTACCCTTCCAGCAACTCAGTTTCTTCTCAAATCGGTCCTCGATGCACTTCCATTCTCTGTTTGTCAGCCTACGATGGTGGATTGGAATATCTAGGTAAGAGAAGGGTAACTCTCCCAACTCGCACCCAAACAATTGCCTATAAACCTCCTGTTCTTCTTTGGCTCTACCAAAACAGAACAGCTCGCTCTTATGAAAGTTAATCTTTAACCCGGTCAATTGTTCAAATAGGCATAACACAAGCTTCATATTTCTCGCCTTGGCCAAGTCATGCTCCATCAAGATAATTGTATCATCGGCGTACTGAAGGATGGATACACCTCCATCAACAAGATGAGGTACCAATCCACCTACTTGACCATTTTCCTTAGCCCTTCCTATCAAAATTGCTAACATATCCACCACAATGTTAAACAGGATAGGAGACATCGGATCTCCTTGTCTTAGGCCTTTATGTGTCTGGAAGTAATGACCTATATCATCATTTACTTTAATTCCCACACTACCTTTTTGCGTAAATGATTCACCTGTCGGCACCAGGCTTCATCAAAACCTTTCATACGCAATGACTGTTGGAGGAATGGTCATTTGACCTTATTGTACGCTTTCTCGAAATCCACCTTAAAAATTACTCCATCTAATTTTTTGAAATGGATTTCATGGAGCGTTTCATGCAGGACGACCACTCCTTCAAGGATATTTCTGTCCGGCATGAAAGCAGTTTGGGACTGTTGCACCACAGAATGCGCAATCTGTGTGAGCCTATTAGTCCCGACCTTGGTGAAGATTTTAAAACTAACATTGAGGAGGCAGATCGGCCTGAACTGCTCAATTCTCACAGCATCCGTTTTCTTAGGAAGCAGTGTGATAGTTCCAAAATTCAAGTGAAATAAGTGAAGCTATCCAGAGAACAGATCATGGAACATAGGTAGCAAATCCCCCTTAATAATGTGCCAGCACTTTTTATAGAACTCGACTGGGAATCCATCCAGTCCGGGAGCCTTATTGCTTTTCATATGTGCAATAGCATCAAACACCTCCTTCTCTGAGAACGGGGCAGCTAGAATATCATTGTCGGCAGTCGATAGTTGAGGCACATCCTCAGTCCTGGACTCGTCGAGGGACATACAATTATCCTCCGGAGGTCCAAATAACTACCTATAATACTCGGTAATATATGTTTTTAGGTTATTCTGTCCTAAAATAGTGCCCTCATCTTGTTCAAGTTGGAAGATTCGCTTCTTTCTGTGCTTACCATTAGCAATCAAATGAAAGAATTGAGTACTCGCGTCCCCTTGGACCACTTTGCGGACTTTAGCTCACAAAGTCCACTTCAATTCTTCTTCGCGGAGCAGTTCTTTCAACCTCTTCTCCGCCTCAGTTTTAACCTGAAGCTCAGCTCGCAGCAAAATCGTGGATTCGGCCTTTATGTCTAGGGCCTGTATAAGAGAAAGGAGTCTATCCTTTTCAATCTTATACACACCACTGACTTGTTTGGCCCAACCCCATAAGAAACTTCTCAAATGCCTAATCTTATTCTGCCAACGCTCGACCGCAGTTGTACCTCCTGCACCCCTAGCCCATTCCCTGGCAATCAGGTCCAAGAACCCCTCGTGTTCGAACCATGGCATCTCGAAAGAAAAGGTGTTCTTGTTACCCACGTGGTTCGGCTCCCCTGAGTCCACGAACAAGGGTGTGTGATCGGATATTCCCCGCAAGAGAGCTTGCACCGTAACCAGAGGGAACTTTTGTTCCCACTCCACGCTCGCGAGAACTCGATCAAGTTTTTCGTAAGTTGGGTTTGGCAGAGCATTAGCCCAGGTAAACTTTCTACCAGAAAGCTCTATCTCCCTCAAATCCAAGCTTTCAGTAATGGTATTGAACATAAACGACCACCTGCCGTCAAAGTTATCATTATTCTTCTCCTCTCTCCTCCTAATGATATTGAAATCACCCCCAACTAAAATTGGAAGTTGTTCTGACCCACAGATTCTAACAAGGTCCACCAGAAACTCCGGTTTAAGCTCGGGATGTGCGGCACCATAAACCGCCACCAAAGCCCAGTTGAAACCATCTACTTTAGAATTGACTCAAAACTTAACCGCGAAGTCGCCCATCACT